TTCTTGAACAGAGCATGCGGAGCATAACTTCTCAGCGTGTTAGCATCCCCACTGAGATCACCAGTTAGCTGTATAATGTGATAATATGTACAATATGATATAATACTTGTATGTCCATGGGATGTACAGAATCACCTGCTCCCGTGGCTGGTGAACGGATGAGCTGCGTCTCTTCTCAACTTTTTTATTAATAAATATTGCAAGATTATGCCTTTTCTCTTTAATTGCAGTAAACTACAAAGTTAGGTACACAACTTACTCGAACTGTGAGTAAAGTATGAATAATACACTCTGGGTGAAGCTGAGGGATTTCCAGTAACGTATGTGCATAACTTTAGGAGTCTTGGCTCTGCAGTATCTCGTCTGGCTACTCAGAAACCATTTTTAGAGCAAATATTCCAGATATTCAAGTTTGTTTGTTAACTCACTTCCAGCTAAGTGAGCTATTTATACATTTTTTAAAAAAAAGGGTATTTGGGGTTTTTTTTAAGAGCAAGTAAGAGATACCCACCTGATTTTGTTTTTCCCAGTACATTTTCCTCAATTCATTTTGTATAACCAAACAGTAAGGATTGACTGAATGCCACAGTGTCTCCAGATGAGAACTAGAAGATGTTGGCATCACCCTGAGGGAGCTTGCACAGGGCTCCCTTGCGTCCTGCCCCCCGTTTCTGCACTAAGCCTGCCTTCTGCCCTTCTTCTCAGCTGATCAGCGATGGCAGCGTGGTCTGTGCAGAAGCCCTGTGGGACCATGTGACCATGGATGAGCAGGAACTGGGCTTCAAGGCCGGCGATGTCATCCAGATTCTGGAAGCCTCTAACAAGGACTGGTGGTGGGGCCGAAATGAAGATAAGGAAGCCTGGTTTCCTGCAAGCTTTGTCAGAGTAAGTGTGCTTTTCAAAAGGACCTGTGGCGGAGAGGCAGAATCGTTTCAGGCCAGATCTCACCCTATGCAGATTCAGTTTATTTGTAATTGTTTTTAGTCTGCCCTGCAAGTCAGACCAGTAAGAAATT